TTTTCTTTTTTCCTTTTTTTTTTTTTTTTTTTTTTTGGTTTAAAGCCCTTGCGTAAGCCTTCTATCCTGGCGGTGGTAAGAGAACCGTCTGGATTGAGGGTTTATCTGTCGGGCTGCTCCATCTATTGGCGGGGAGCGGCACCTGCTGGAAATCGGGTCCAGCATCCCTTTGATACATCATGTAGCACAAAGAATGGTGTTTGTTGTCTCTCAGGGCCGTGGCTATGTCTGTCTCAACTTGGGCCTCCATTGTCCCATAGAGCTGCTAGTGTCACCCATCCCTTTTCTGGATTGCCCCTTATCTAATGACCCAGCCCTGTCTCCACAGCCCCCCTTATAGTTGTGTCTGTCTTTTTAACCCTKTAAACCTGTATCCTCTCAAAAACCAGTGTATGAATCAGTGTATGAACCATTCGTGATCCTTGAGTGGATGTTGAAAGGAGACACATTTTGCTCAGATCTTTCCATACTGGGCTGCCCAGTCCCATCCCTTTTATAATAAGGCAGTCCTATCACAGCAGACCTTTTACCCGAACATGGCTGTGTTCATCTCTTAAAACCCTTTAAACCCTATTGCCCTCTTAAACCCAGTGTATGACCCATTTGTGATCCTTGGGCCATTTGTGATCCTTGAGTGAGTATTAAACTGGAACACAGCTTGCTCAGATTTGTCCATGATGGGATGAACTTTCCATTTGTCCTGTGAGGCGTCCTCAGGATGGAGGGAGCGATCTGGCCAGATTGTGCGGACATGTATGATAGATGCCTATCCTGTCGCTTTTCATCAGTCACCATTGATCCTGCCAATTCGCCTGTCGGTCTGCAGACCTCTTCTTTCGCCTCCCTTGTAATCCAGTGTCCCTCTCTCCCTTGGTACTTGAAGTCTTTGCGCCCCAATCGGACATGGCCGGAGCCCATTGTGTGTTTCCTGAGGTCGGTTGTGGGGGGATGAGCTGTTGATGGGATGGTAGGAGTGGTGGTTAATACTGGTTATAGGGTGTGCAGGGGGGCCAGGGGCAGCTGGTTTAGTGGAGTCGTAGTCATTTTCTAAGTAGCTTCGATTTTTTCTGAGCCAAAGCCGGGTAATGGCCCCGGTATCTCAATCTTCAAAATTATATGTGCATTTCCATATGGGACGCTGGGCCCGGTTCCCAGCACGTGCTGCTCCCCATGAATAGATTGGAGCCTTGTTCCCAAAAAAAAATAAAAAATGATGCCTCTAACAGGCCATCCGACAGACGCGGAAGCGTTCCTGTCAGATCCACCACGATATCTGAATTTCACATTTCAACTTCGATTTCTCAGAGCCAAAAAAGAAGAAAACAAAGTCTGGAAATCAACCCCCCCCCTTCTCGAGTCCATAAAATCCTGACTTCCCGCCCACGCAAAGCCACGAGCTATCATGTCCAACTTTGTTGGTTTTTTTTTTTTCGATGCATCTCATGGGACAGGAGGTGGGCATCTTTACAGTCCCCGCTCGGAAACTACCGGGCCGTCAAGATCCGATCTATTCGACGGCCATACTGTGTCACTCGAGGCCACACGTGATCGAAATCCTGAACGAAGTGGTAGAATACTTGGCTAATGGGTTCAGGCCCCTGGAAAGATGCAAGGAACCATCCAATGAGAACACAAAATTTTCTAGATGCAAAAGCTCACAGAAGACCAATAATGAATAAGCCGAGTTGAAAGCAGAATTACAAAGTTGAGAGAACACCAGTTTTTTTTGTGTTTTTTTGTTTTGAACAGTGACGTCTCTTGACAGTAAAAGCCCCTTGACAGTAAAAGCCCAAAGGGGTGCTGATCGCCCCGTGGGTTGAAGGCAGGCTATTTAGGGATTAGTTTGCAGGAGGTCAATCCTTCCCTTGCGCAGGGAAGTAATCAATGCCCCTGACAGTTTCACAAGTTAATGCATCATGGAGGCTGGGCTCGACGTCCAGATTATACATATCACATCAGGGATAGAGCTTTGTGTTTAGACTTGATTGATAAACATCACACACATCACATCATTGTTAGGGTTTGGTGATTACATTCATTGATTTTTTTTTTTTTTTTTTTTCATGAAGGCCCTTGTGCATGGCCTCTATCCTGGTGGTGGTAAGAGAACCACCGGGATTGAGGCTTTGCCTGGCACGACTGGACCACGATTGATCCCGGCACCCCGCTACGACCTGCTCAGGACTTCGAAGACCCTTTCCCACCCCACCAGCTGGCCTTGGAAGAAATACTACCGGTTGCATGAGACCCGGTTTCCAGCAATATCAATAGACGGAGTAGCCGATAGAGGCTTTGGACGACCAACGCTGGACCCGGTTCCCAGCACGCATCACTTCAAAGGATGATGACTTATGAAGTAGAATTTAAAGAAGAATTTATGGGACGCTGGACCCGGTTTCCAGCAGGTCAGTATAATTCAGCTAATTTCCTGCTGCTGTTTTTTTTCCCCATATATACATGTCACTGCAGAGCGCAAAGATACAAAGACACAATAGGAGTCATGAGGATAGTAGGCGGATGGCGGCGGCTAGGGGAGGGAGGGAGACGCCACTGGTGCCCCCCAGTGTTTCTCCCCCCAATACCCGACCCTGCTGCAGGATAGGTATGGAACGAGTGGATAGTGGATAGGATATCCGGACTCCAGTACAATGACGTCACTTTTAAGATGTACTGTTTCACAAAGATGTATTTTTGGGACACTGGACCCGGTTTCCAGCAGGTGTTGCTCCCCACCAATAGATGGATTACATTGATTGATAGAGAACACATACAGCATATCTTTGTTAGAGTTTCGTGGCAGGTCCATCTATTGATAAATAGTGAGTGACAAACATACACAAACACACGCAAACATATACAAACATATACAGACAAATATAGGATGTGCGGTATGAATATACATTCATCACTGTATAGGGACGCTGGACCCGTTTTCCAGCTTATACACATCACATCATTGTACAGGGACGCTGGACCCGATTTCCAGCAGGTGCAGCTCCCCACCAATAGATGGAGCCTTCAACACTGGGGCCTACTTACCGGGGATGCTCTTATCACCTCGGTAAGTAGGTTTTTCCAGATCAGAAGTTTTTCCTAAAAAAATAAAAATAAAAATAAAAAATAAAATAAAATAAATAGTAATTTAATAAATAATAAAAGCCCTCTGTATGCCTCCAACAATAGATACAACAACAAGTTGCCTGCCTGCGGGTAGGGTGATGGTCCTGAGTGTGTCACACTGAGGTAGGATAGTAGGATGGGGGGTGCGCTAGGAGTATTGAAGCGAGGATGGGATGGGAGGTGGCCTCATCTTCTCTGGACAACCATGGCTGACCGCTCCTGGCAATCACTGTGCGCCAAGTAACTGGCCTCTACAACACCCTGGACTTCGTATACAAAAAAAAACAATGTAGTAGCCCTCTATAATGTGTCCACCTATACTACTCTCCTACTCACCTAGACACATTAGCCTACTCCCTCTCAATCGCTCTCCCGGAACTCCTCTGGCAAGATGTCGCTGAAGAGTCTGATCACATGAGGCACTCCTCGGGCAACACCAGGTGAGTATCAGCTTGTCCCCCACTGTGCTCCTCCTTTCTCCTCACCACCCACTCCCAGTGCTCTGCACTTCCCTCCTTCAGCCATGGCAAGCGCAGGCGGCAGCTACCGCTCTGCTGCCCTCTTTCGCCCAGGGCGCTTGCTGGCTGTATGCGCTGCTCCGGCACTCCCGCATGCTGTCACTGCCTGAATGTGTCAATCGCCTCGGCCTCCTTCTTTTCGCTCTGTTCTCAGAGCGACGGTGTTGACTATAGAGTCCGAGCCTCCAAGGCCTGGATTGTGGCCCAGGTACCTGCCCGGTCGGGGTCTCGACAGAGGTCCTACAGGTAGTTAGCTGGGCACCTGCACTGGGCCCTTACAGTAATGGGGTGTGGCTTTCACTTAGGACTGGGCCTGAATTTGCTGCACGCCTGCTCAGGGCCGCTGAGGCCTGGGGGCTCGCATTGAGTTCTTATTTTCTTTTTTCTCCTGATAGGACAAGCCAGCAAACATATCATGGTAATGATTAAATCACTAGCACCATCAAGTGGCCTACCTCAGTTGGTTAGGCACGCGAGTGGCATTCAGAAGGTTGTTGGTTTGAGCCCCACAACCGCCTGCGGCGCAGTTGGCGTAGTTAGTGCCGACCACCGAAGACAGTCTGCTTGATACCTCTTAGCCAACACGGGGGTATGAGTGTGAGTGGGTTGTGTGAGGTGTGTGGGAGAGTGTTGACCTTAGACACTGCTGTTATTCCATTGGGGTGGGGGACGATGAAAACGGAGGCGCAGCTACTGGCAAAGTGCTTTTGCGTTAGCCTAAAAGGTGCTTCAGGCGCTGTACAGCGAAGATGTGTAGAAGTCAAAGCTCCGGGAATTATTTCACGTAAATCTGTGCATGAACCAATGCAAACAGGATGCATGCCCTCTGATGGATGGAGGGAGACAACAAAGCTATGTTCGCAGGGGTCCCCCGTATAAGCCTTAGGAGTAGTGGTAGGTAGGGTAAAAGGTGCTTTAGGCGCTGTAGAGCGAAGACGTGTAGAAGTCAAAGCTCCGGGAATTATTTCACATAAATCTGTGCATGAACCAATGCAAACAGGATGCATGCCCTCTGATGGCTGGAAGGAGACAACGAAGCTATGTTCGCAGGGGTCCCCTGTATAAGCCTTAGGAGTAGGTGCCGGGTTAATGGTGACTCTTGACGGCGCTACTAGCGCTAACTTGCGCTGCGGACCGGCCGGCAAGGCCCGGCCGCACTCCGTAGACTGGTGCAGAGGTGGTGATGTCGTGCCATCACTGTACTTGGTCGTCCTAGTGCCCGTCTGGTGCTTCGGCCCGGACGTAGATGGGGATTCTCCACGTGGCAGCTCGAGGAGACGGCACATCCGCGTGATGGAATTAAGTTTTGTGATGGAATTAAGTTTTGACTAAAGAGGTAGCGCAGCTGTTTGGGGAGTGGTTTCGACAGCATAATAAGATATAACAACAACAAGATTGATGACAATAGCGACCTCAATTATGACTTCATCTACAACGCAGATGGCGATGGAGGCGGCGGCCATGCAGGAAGCTGCCATGCTTGGAGAGGAGGGAGCCGCGCTGGAGATGGTGCGGATGTATAGGCAACAGATAGAGGAGATCTACGGGGTGCTTATTCAACATCAACACAATCTACCAGCGGACCTTGTGGAGGAGGGTGAGGAGCTGTTCAGTGGTTGGGAGGAGGAGCTTCGTGAAAATCTTCCTTTTCAACGGTTGGGTGCTATCAAAAAAGCACAGGTGACGGCGGAGTTGGGGGGTTGTACTGAAGTGTTGGGGAAAGTGAAGGGAATCCTCGTCGAACTTTGGGAGGGACTGCATGGCGCGGGGCCTGAGGAGGGGCAGGTGCTGTGTGTGTCGCAGGATTGTTTGTATGAAGCAGATGACGCTTGTATCCCGGCTGCTTTCCTTATTGAGGAGGTTGCAATTCGCTGTGAGAAGCCTGAGGAGGGGCAGGGTTCTGGCGGCGAACTGGAGGAGCGTTCGTTTGCGGGTGACGAGGATTGCCCTCGGTTGGAGGGGGGGGGTATTGCCATGTGTGAGAAGCGTAATAACAACAACAACAACAACAACAACAACAACAACAACAACAACAACAACAACAACAATAACGACAGCGTCTTCAATTTCAGTAATATCGACGACGGGTTTACGCTGTTTGTGGCGCAAGGCGACGCTGATTTCATGTACAACAACGATAATAACAACAGTACAGACAAAAGCGATGTTAACAATGATGATGACAACAATCGTATGGACGAGAACGATGACAACAGTGATTGTGCTGGTGTTGTTTTCACTGGTGGGAACAACAACATCAGGTATGATGATAATAGCTGTGACAACAATAACAATAACAGCATAGTTGTCGGTAGCATGATCGGGAACGCCATCGATTGCATTGATTATCATTGCAATAACTGAAACAGTTTTCACCTTTGGCAGTAGCCGATGCAGATCCCAGGGGTCGATCCCTTGACCTCAGCTTACCTGTGTACAGTATCTGCACAGTTCCCTGGAGTTGAACCCGTGACCTGCACGATAGCCAGTGGTAAGTAG